ATCAGGTGGGCTGTGTGCTCGTTTGTCACCTTTATTCTATAAAAAAAACGTAAGTAACGATATCTTTGGATGTGTTCATAAATATTTATTCGTTGCGTTTAAATTATCAATCAAGTACGACCGGCTGTTTTTGCATTTGATAACAGCAAAATATTTAAAAAAAAATACTAAGATACCGCAGCCTGTTCAGGAACTTTATCGTTAGTTCTTGAATTACTCCAATTCAAGAGGTTTTTATCAAAGATTCATTATTTTAGATTACCGTTCAACTTTTCGAGGTGATGATAGTTAACATAGAACAGCAGAAATAATTAGCATTGCATTACAGAATTGTTTCTGTACTATTGTGTGTTTAGTTCATACCAGCGTCCCTCTTTTTTCTCTCTGATAATGACAATAGCGCAAATATTATTTATATTACGTTTTTACAATACAATCTGTATGTTTTTTATAATAAAAAGAGAGCCGCTTAGCGAGAGTAGCCTAAGTAAGCTGCTTCTGAACATCTTCAACACAAGTTAAATTACAAGTGTGTTAGCGGCCTTTTCACAAGGAGTAGGCTCTATTTTGAAGGAATCTTTTCTTGAGGATCATTGGTGACAGTTCAATTCCACAAAAAAATATACTAATATATTTTAAAACTAGGAACCATTTCAAATTTTTCATTAGAATTGCCCTCTCTAGCGCCGTTAACCAATATCCAGCGAATGAATTAACGAACTTGAAAATAATAGGAAACCATACAGACATAGCCACGATCCTTCTAATAAAATGGATCATTTATATACTTAACATTCCAATATATAAAATATTAATAACCATATTAAAAAAAACACTTAGACTATCATACCGTCCTACTCCCCGCGATATATAGTGCGAAGAAGTCCACCATAAACTATCAGTCGTTTCGGTTAGTCGTTACTTAACGTACGTACAGTTTTGCTCATATTTTATTAATAAAAAAGTTAACAAAGGATAGATTATTAAAACCAGGCGTTACTTTGTTAAAATCTAATATTTTGTAAACGTTAAGTTTAAGGTTTCGCGTTATTTACTATGTTAACAAAGGATTTTCAATTGAAAGTCGATAACTTCTCGATTAACTCTGCCTCAATCTACGCTACAATTTCCCGTCGCAAAATTGCAGTCAACCGACGCTATCGTGATTATGATGGAAATTTCCAATTCTAGTTTCCTCTCAGAGTTTAGAAGTTTTTTGAAAAAAACATAGAACAAAAATATTAAAATTTGGAAATGCTAGAACCTTTCCTCTTAAACGTATATATATATATATATATTCTGATTACATATACCGAATTAAATTTCTTATATGATTGCGTGTTTTAAAAATAATTTATGAAAAATTTATTATATCAAATAACAATCACATGTATATTATGTGTATTACTTACAAATTAAACAAACTGATTAAAAAGAATATAAAAAATACAATGAGGTGAGAACTGAAAGTCACATGGTGGCACTATGTATATCGAAAATTTTGATTTGAAATCTTAATGTATTTTTACACTTCAGTATTGACCGGCAAATTATTTAATAAGATGCTTTTAGGATTTTTGTGGTTATGTATCAGCCAAAACACAAACTGCGAGAATCAGGCAAAATTGGTTTTGACCGATACCCTTAGTCAAAAACAGTTTTAACTAATGTTCGTAGACAAAAGTGGTTTTGACGAATGATCTTAGTCAAAAGTGGTTTCACCTAATTTAAAGTTCGATCAAAACTCGTAATATCAGTGGTGCTTGGGTTTGGATTTAATTTTGTTATTTATTGGATCCCAAGCAAATGGCAGCGCCCATCCATCTTCTCTATGGAAATAAGTATGTTTTTCAATCCCAATAGTCTCGCGTATCACCCTTCATTAAATCTGATGCAAATGCGGGGAGGACCTTGAACAACATCACAGACTGCTGACTTCTCGGAGATCCTGCTACGAATGGTGAGAAGCGAGGATATCCATCTTTATCCTCTCCCTATTATTTTGGCACTACTTTAAGCGTGGTTTAAATATTCTACGACTCTCCCGCATCTCCTCCCAAACACGTCCTTCACTTGGTTTCCCTCAAAGTACCAATTCCACAAATTTACACCGAGATACCCCATAAGCGGCACGCACATGCTAGTTCCATCTAATCATTAGTTGTTTTCTGCTCGGTTTAACAATGGTATGACTCTCAGAGGCGGCTTTACACAATGCATTCACAATCCTATTATACATACTGTCAATTATTCGCCTGTGATCTCGGATGTCACAACGTTTATCACTAAAGTTTTACCGAATTCAGCCGGAAAGTTAATTTCTTTTAACCTATAATTACATGATTTTGTATATAAATCTATTTGTTTGAGGTTTCTCTCCCACCATTTGATTTTATGACATTCAGGATTTTCTTCTTTGGTTTCACATTATTGATATTGCATTTAATAATGAGTGGCAAGTGGTCAGACTATATCGGATCATATTTGATGTGTGTATCAACTATAGTTTGAAAAGCCGACTCGGTTACAACACAGTGTTCTAACCATCTTAAAACCCCATTAGTGTCACTTATAAAACTATATGTGTCAGACAAAAAACCTAAATTAATAATATTGGCACATTTCCCATCCATATCGCTACAAAAAATTTAAGAGTTCATAATAAAATTGCTCACCCTGGTGGGCGTTGAAGTCACCGAGTATGTAAACACACTCAACATCTACATTGCCCACTACTGCGCTTAGCGTTTCCAAACAATTCTTAAACTCGGCTAGGTTCACCGTGCTATCAGTCGGCATGTATACACTGAACACTAAAAATGACCTTTGCACTAAGTTTTTTTTTTATCTTCACGCACAATCCCTAACGGGGTAGCCAGAGAGAACAGATCGCCAAGTGTCACGATCCTTACATACCTCTTTCGCTTCTTTCAAGTTCATTAACTTCTTCATACATGCACGTCTAGATATCCGAGCACTCTTGACCCTCCCCTCTTCGAGCAATTTGCTCACATGGTCTTCGAAAGTTAGTCTCGGTCTACCTCGACACCTCTTAATATTTACTTTCGCTCTATATATTTTCTTCACCATTCGGTCTTCACTCATTTGCTCAACGTGCCCAAACCATTGGAGTACGCCCCTATCAATTTTTGTGATAAGGTCATCTTTCAATCCTGCCATATTGCGAGTTAAGTAACTTAATTAACTTATCACTAAGTTGTGAAACTTTAATACAGCATACTCTCACATCACACTACAGTTCACCTTATTAAAGATTTTCTTATTCAATAACAATACAACTCCAAACCACGGTCGTCGTTAGGTCATCCCCTTTGACGTGTTCGATGGGTGATACACCCGTATAAGTGAAGTCATCATCTATACAGCCAAGAAAATGAATGTCATGCGGCAGTAGCCAATGTTCCTCCAAGGCAATTATGTGAGACGTTCGATATAGCTGCGGCAAATCATCTACTGAGCGCTTCACGTTCTTACAGTTAAAACTTACAAAGTTGTATAATTCCATACTTGCCTATTTACTTTGGTTTTTGATCGGTCGATACAGTGTAATTGCTGTTCGTACTTCTCTGTCGAAATGTTATAAATCGTCTAAATATGACTCCTTCTGGCCATAAATTACTGTCTAAGAACGTAGATAGCTTCTGCTCAAAAACAAAAAAACTTAAAGGTTTATGATTCTTCTCTTGTTTTAATGTAATTTCTTCCAATGTTATCATCTCTTTTGTCTTTCCGTATACAAAGTTTGTTATATCTTTATCAGTCGTACCCTTGTGAATCTTTGTTATGAAAATAGGAACTTTTTTGTCAGCGACTTTGAAGCCCCCCTTTATATCTTTCGAAATCCCGGCTTTCCCATGGTAACGGTATTTACATTTTTTGCGCCTCGATACGGTTTTCCAGTCTTCCTTATTATACTCGTTTGATTCAAATTCACCTGCTGTGTTTACTGCACTGTGGCGCTCGACTCTTTCCTCAGTTGTTATCGGCGCACTGGACAACTGAAAACGCTGCAGGTAGCAGTGACGACACCTTGCCTTGACACTCCATACCGCTCGACATTGTATTCTCGCATCCATTGAATACCGGCGACCGTTGTCCCAGCCCAGCTGATTTACGTGCATTTTGTTTTAAGTTTACCCTCAACATATCCCGGTATTCTTGTATATTATCACCGGAACTGTTATTTACCGGTTCAATTACCGTAGGATCGTTTACATCATGCAAGACACCAACTGGCCCACCTTCATACAGCTGTCATGCTCAGCGCCTTACATACAATCACGAGACACACAGTAATGTGTCATTTCACAACTGTAGTAACTCAGATCTGCACTCACTCAGTTCTTCTTTTGTAACATAGTTAGCTTTAACTACATCTAGTTCAATTTGCAATTATAGTGGATCTTTTAGTGATTTAGTGCAATCAAGATGATCGAAAAGAATAGGGGGTAATTTCTCCAACTCGCAAGCCACAAAAATAGGTACAATGTTGGGTTAGGTAGTTTTAAACAGGTTCAGTATATCCACAAGGGCTCTTCCTTCCTATCCCTTGTTCTTCCATTGTAACATTATTTTGCCCGTAGGAATAGCTTCGAACAATAACGTCTTAGCTGGTTTAATTTCTTCGCTCGTGAATAGCCGCGTACACACCTATAGGTAAACCACACAACTGGCGGATCGCCCGCGGGACATGAAGTTGGCGGGGGCGGGTATCGATACACACGTAATAATTTTTGCAGAGATTAATCCCGGGATAATATTCGCCGATTGCAATTATAGGATAATGTAAATAAAAGTCAACTTTGCTATATCAATGATTTGGTAGCATGTTAATTTTATTTTACTGTAACGTATTTTTTATTACGTACATGAATATAAATAATACAATAATTTACATAAGAAATATTTATTAAGTTTTAAGCAAAACACTTTGGAAAAGCAGCACTTAACCATTTTTTATAATTTTATTTTAATAATTATTATATATTTTTCTCCTCGCTAATGTCAATATGCATATCACTTGAATTACCGTCTTCGCTATCAGTGCAACTGGACGAGTCAGAATTATCTTGTAAATTAATTACCATTTCGTCCATAGCGTCGTCGAGTATTCGATCGTGTTGACAATACTCATCTTCAATTTTCTGGACATGTGTGTTACATGCTACCCATTTTTCTACTGGAAATTCATTAACTAATTTATCTAGTGCAGTTTTCTTCTTATCTAAATTACTGTCAAGTTCGTTTCTCGAAAGTTGTCCCTTGATATCCCCCCAAACCAGCTCTATGGGGTTGAAGTCTGGGTGGTTCGGCGGAAGTCTTAATACTTCGTGTCCCGCAGCTTTTAGCACTTCATCAATCTTGTAAACATTTTCAGATCCATGTTGTTTGATCAACTTGAGCAGGTCACATTTTCTCAAGGAACTGTCAAATTCCACATTATGTCTTTGCAGCCAAGCCTGCATCGAAGCTTTTGTATTTGTCATCGTTGGTTTTTTGTCTTCCTGGACTGAATGATACGCGGCGTTATCCATAACAATTACAGATCTTGGAGGTAAATTTGGCAATAATTTTTTTGTCCATTTATTGAAATTTACAAAATTCATATCCGAATGATAATCTCCGGTTTTACTTTTTGATTTAAAAATTAAAAGAGCTCTGTCAACAAATCCAGCCTGGCCTCCTGCATATACAATAATTAATCTCGTTCCTTTGCCAATATGAGCCAGCACTCCACGTTCTTCTTTTGATTGCCAGTACGATGGAACACTTAAGGAGGAATCGACGTATGTTTCATCGAGGTAAACAATGGATCTCTTGTCTCTTCGATGTTTTTGTATCACATTCAGATATTTCCATCGCCAAGAAACAATGTTTGGTTGTTCAATAAGCAGCTTTCTCTTCGACTGACATTTTTTAAATTTAAAGCCAAGTTTGTGCAGTAATAGTCTCAAATATTCTCGACCGCAATTTAAAATTCCTTCTTCTTTAATTTTATAGCATTTAATGTTTTTAATGTGGGAACCCTCTTGTAAGTAATGTAAAATTGAGTTATTTTTCGTCTCACTACTCCTTCAGTAAAATTATCTATTTCAATCTTTTCCTTTCGTACCTGTTTTTTTTTTGGGGGGGGGGGATTTAAAAACCACTCTATTTTGTTCGCGTTTTAGATCATTTCCTTCTTTGACAATTTTACTCACAGATGTTAATGTTCCTGTTGCTTGCACGACCAAATTTATTCAAGTTTACGTCTTGTTGATATTCCGTAGACGATTGATCTTGTTTTCTTAGTTTAAAGAAAGAATGTACATTGTACACCAATTGTTTCGCTTGCTTGTTTTGCTTGGCAAAAATCTTAGAGCGTCCATCTTCAGCATTCATCTCGGTTTATAATCTCGTGTGCATTTTGTTCCGAGCGTCCGCAACCAATTAACACACTGCCCACTGCGAAAGCCGCGAGCGCACTGAAAAATGTCAATCGAGCTCCCTGCCGCGCGCCCCCGCACCCCGAAACTCTCTAAAATCTCTCCGCGCCCACCAACTTCTTGTCCCGCGGGCGATCCGCCGGGTGTGTGGTTTACTTATAGCGCACGGTCTCGCGCGGCAGCCTCGGTGTGCGACTCAAAAGCGAAGGCTCGCGAGGAAGCCACAGTAGTTTTGTCCGGAACTCCGAGGCGTGCCTCGCGAGGCAGGCCGAGCCATCATAAGTCCTCGAGCATCCGAAATGCACAGTGGTGCAATTGCAACTGAACTTCCTTAGTTGCTTAGTACAAAACGTAGCCTTAGTAAGACCTTGACGCATCTGAATTAGAAAAATTTATGAGCGTCGCAACCAATACGGAAATAAATTACTTAGAGATTTAACATATGATCAGATTGTACATAATGCTACACGAATGTCCCTACAAGAATTTGAAAATTTGTGCTCATTATTGTCTGATAAAATTAAAAAGTGCGACACAAAATATAGAGAGGCAATCACTGTAAATGAACGAGTTTCAATAACTTTAAGAATTTTTAGCAACCGGAGATTCTTATAGCAGCTCGCAATATTTATTTCGAGTATCAAAGCAGAGTATCTCAAGTATAATTCCAGAAGTTTGTGAGGTTATTATTGAGGCCTTTAAGTGATTATGTAAAGACAAATTAAAAATAAATATTTGTTTAAATTGAAAGATCAATGTACATTTTAATTACAATTCAGTGATATCTTTCGAATCTATTATATTATTAAAGTGACTTTTCAGTAAAACTAAAACAAACTCTATCGTATCGCCTCACGAGCCAAAATACCACCGTACACATCAAACGAACAGCGAACACTGAGGCACCTTTGAGCACGTCCAGTTTAAAGTTGTTCAAAATAACTATAAATCAATAGCACGCTACAGGCTATAAACTATAAATTTCTAGCGCGCTATTAAATATGCTATGTTATAGCGCGCTATTTATAACAAAGCGCGTACGAGACCGGCAAGCGCGTTAAGTTTTGCAGCACGCTATATCTTGTAGCACGTTATACTAAATGTTGTTCATTTATTAGACCACGTGCTATTTATGAACATTATTTCGTAATAAGTCGCATTTTAGACTAAAATAAAATAAAGCGGTTAAGAAAAACCAATGAATGCTTTTTCATACTTTTCAGGCTTACGACTTTCTATAATCCTAAAAATATTTTTGAGGCATTTACTTTTTAAAACGAAATATAATAATTTATTTTTTATTATAATTGATGTAAAAGTTATTTTAACCTTAATATAAATTATAAATCAAATAACTGTGTATTTAAAAGTTTATTGATTGTATTTATAAAAATCAACTATTTACATACACTATTATATACATTTTTGTATCTATATTTTATTTACATTTAAAAACATTAGTTGGGCTTCTTTTATAGCAGACAACTGTGTCCTTCGATCACTTATAAATATACAGTATACACTAACTAAGCAACGTCTAATACTAAATTAGGTCGCGCGCGATGAATAGCGTGCTACTAGATCAAATTTGCGTCACACATCCTCTCCCAACAGCGCTGCTGCTAGAACTAGTTGCCGCTATATATTAATACTTAATAGCGCCATGGCAACTGCTAACATAGCACGCGCTATGTGTTATGGAGAGATAGCGCGCTATAAATGAAAAAATATAAATATAGCGCTAATAATAAATATAACGCTATGCGCTATATTATCCACCATTAGTCCAGTTTACCGACCACGTACGGCTCGGGGTCGAGCGGCGCTCGGCCGAGGCAACGTGCGACCGAGGCAGCCCGAGGCAGCCCGGGGCACGTCCACACCAGCCGAGGCATTAGGTGTGTACGCGGCTACTGACGTTGAACATATCCACACCAGCGTTTCCTTGTCTGTTATCGATTTTTGTTCTGAATAGAGGATAAAAGCTTTGATTATGTAGACAAGTATATAATCAAAGGATAAAAGCTCGTTTATCACTATATTACACGAGTTACACTTGATGGTTTCCGGCATTTTGAGTACATCACGGCACAAGGAGTACGCTCACCGCGCCCGGCACAGAGGTATGCATATTTAAAACGTTAAACAATCGAGTAAATGAACCTACAATATAAAATAATGATAAAATATATTATACAATAATCTGTGACTTTGAATTTGACAGCTTACTTTTTTCCTATGAAATTAAAATCAATAAAAATCATTCAATAGGCTATCCGAGCAAGCGACATCCGACTAACCATTCAAATACCTCACTGACACATACCCACGAAACTTTACAAACAATATAAAGCCTTTCCCACGAAAAATATTCAATTTTCACTGTGTCATTCGTTATTTAAATAAGGGTTGCTCGACAGTTGTGTAGGTCCCACAGTAGGTAAAATTTTCAGTAAATTTATTTCTTAACAACTCTTTGATCATAGATATTTTAATACGCCTGATATTTTAAAAATATTTTGAAATCATAAAAATAATGAAATATTTACGAAATTTAACAGGACATATATACAAACTTTTTCAAGTGTTGGCCAAACCCTGGATAATATGATAAAATATTATAATTTCTCTCTCAAATTATCCATTCAGATCTATAACACAGTAACATTTTTTACAAATCTTCAGTAACGAACTTACAGTTCACTTGATGCTTAGTTAAGAGGGTAGACGGGCTGCATTTTTTCCATACAAATGTATTTCCCTTTTTCTTCCTGGATAATGCCTCTAGAGTAATCGTTTTTGATTATAAATATCCAGATATATTGAAGGCATGCCCCTGTTATTTACTTTTTTTCAAAAAATTATAACAAAAATAAATATGACTTTCCAAAAACCTACGAAATTTAACTACTACTACCAAAGAAATTTGAAAAGTTTTTAGGATAAAAGCAAATGATAGAGGTATAGGTTTATTTTTGGTTTAAATTTTGCTACCAAAAACAATTTAATTGGCTTAATTTTGGAGAAGAAAACAGGGGAATACGAAACGACGATCGGTCATGGTTTTTGTAGGTAAAATCGTTCTGAGCTGCAGTTGTCCCTATCGCACTCTTCGGGTGGAGACCAGAGGTGGAGAGGAGGCAATAGTTTCATCAAATACCTATTTTTCAATACCCGCGCAGACCGTCTACCCTCTTAAGACAGTTTGTTATCCCTTCTCTTACGGACTACGCTACAAGTTTGCGTACTGTAAGTGTGTAGGATTTTTAATCAGTCATATAAGACGAGATAAAGAATATTTAGAAAATTAACACAAGAGGAAGCGAATGTTGTAATAACATATCTAATAATATGTCAGTCTCCTTCTTAGGTCTGGTAGGTAGAACTCAAAGTTAAGGAAAATAATAATGGTAATTTTAGTGCCAATCAGTGTAAGAGAAAAACATAGCGTCAACAATCCTTTTTTCTACCATTTTTCTTAGTATCATTTCCAAGAGAAATTATACTAAGAAGTTCCGACAGTTCGTAGTAAAGAACTAATCGGCGTAATGTATGTTCATTTTTCTTTCTTTCGTTCATGTTACCGCTACATTTCATTACTTCTTATGGTGTTTGCTGAATTAATTATATTCAAACATCATAGGTAGGTCATAGGTACTTTATTGTTTACTATAAACTATAATGAAACTTCTAACCTGCAATTAAACAAACCATCTAATAAAACACCCTTCAAAACTACTGGTTAGGAAAATACGTAGAGGACATAAGGCTGCGTAAGAACCTTATGTCGTCTACAGATCGTTTATGATTTGATTGTAGCCGACTGGGATTGAACTAATCTCATTCGGCTACAAGGAAATGAAATTGGATATCAAAATGTAAATGCATTGTCATCTCTGAGGACTAAGACGAAGTGCCTCGTTTCCAGTAAGAAGTATCTACGATTTTCAACACTCACAATGCGAAACATCATAATTACGCTGCTATTTTACGCTTGTATAGAGAATGGCTGTTAGAGAATGGTCCTTTCCCGGTCGATATAAAATATTTTTTCTAACCCCACCATTATAATAAGTATTAATTTCGTATATATGTGAATTATTAAAAAAGGGTATACTTGTATGCCGATAAGGCACGTTGTTGGAATATTGCCAAAATTCTTAGACATCGCTTTAAGATATTATGGAACCGCAATAAGGTCAATATATTCCTTAAGATCTCTCTATAAATAAACGCCCACTTGACCTAGCACAATATAATAAAAAATACTATATTCAATATTAATTATTAATAAAAAATTGGTTGACCATGCAGGCCATCCCTGGAACTTCGCGCAAATTTCAAATGCAAAGCGCTTCAAATTTCACCAAATTATGACGTTGATTTATTAAATGTCGAAGTAATTTAAAAGAAATTGTAAAAAGTATATTTAAAAGTAATTTAAACGTGCATTGAAGTTTCTAAAGGAACTGTATGCACGACTGGTCGTCGCTGCTGGTGATAAGAGGGCTGGTTCTTTCCTCGCTCAAAGGCTAAGTATAGCTATTCAGCGAGGAAACGCAGCCAGCGTTCTTGGCACTATACCACGGGGAGCAGGTCTTTTCGACGATTTAAATTTTTAGTTTTAGGTTTTCTATATTATAGTTTCTTCTTTTATATTGCATATATAATTAGTTTTAATCGTAAATATTATAATTTCAATTATTATTTTAGTTAAGTTCTTTATTATAATGTTAAATATTATATTAATGAATTAAATAATTTAAAAAAAAATTGTTTTTCAAAATATTTCGTTAACGATATCTCACAAATGAATCAACAGATTTCGACTAGACCGGCGGCGATCGATATGGTTTTTCAAGGTCAAAAGCGGATTATAGTCAACCAAATCTAAGAAATATATTTTGACAGCTGTCGGACTTATTGCATAAAACATGCCAACCAAAAAATTGGACG